AAGGGTTAACCGGAGAGGCAGTTTCTATAAACAGAGGAATAAATATTAAGCTAGAAACAACACCAGAATGTTTCCTTCCTGCCTTCCTTACAGGATTAGCCCTGTAAAGTGGAAAAAAAACAAAAGAAGATTTCTTCCAACAACTGGTTCTCTGAACCTCTTAGAAAGTTAAAAACTGGTTCTCCTGGATAGGTGCGAACTGGCTGAATCCCACCACTGCTAGCCTGGTAATGAAACATTCAGAAACTAACCCACAAGCTCGGAGAATGAACCTCCACCCTCATAAATTTCATTATTAATACAAATATACTTATTCAGGACTACTGATTGGAGTATATGTGTTGACATAGTATTTTACATAATTCCCTATTAAAAAAAGAGTCCCTTTCCTCCCTTCTTTATATTCAGAATTATTTCTGCTTCTTCCTTGTGGATCGCATAAGAAGGGAAACTTGCCAGTAACAACTCAGCCAAGATATTGGGCTATTAGTTTTGTTCTTTTCTTCCACAAAAATATAAGTATCTTAGGAGATTAAAATGCTATTTAAAAGAAGAAAGCTGTCTTGACAGAGTTTGTATGCAGAAGGACACAACTCCTTCTTTGTTGTATGCCATTCTGCAACCACTTGGCCACTGAGCATATTTTATATCCTAGATTTCATACTCCAGTAGTCTTACCACTCAACCAACCAACCAAGTCACCCACCCACTCTTATTGAAAGCTATGGGAAAAAAAATAGGATTCAGAAATGGACCAGCTGGGAGCTATGTATCCCTACAGTAGAGAAAATCATTCAGTAGCTCAGAATATTGCTGATTGCAGCATTCCTTAAGTCTCTGAGTATATGATCCAGAATAGAGCTATTATTAAAGACTTTGAAAAACTTCCAGAAGCCATTCTCTGCATGACTTCTCTACTTTGTTTATTTTCAGATTTTCATTAAGCTTTTTGTGTAGTAGAATTGGCCCACTTAATGCACTGTAACTCAGCAGTTTTAATTTTCTTGTTTCTTATAAATACACATGATTTGATTGAACCTTAAAACTTTTTTTCCCCCACAGTTTATCCGTGGTAGCACATTTAAAGAAATTCCACTAACATTTTACAGTAAGTAGTTTAAAAGCTAAAATGTCCAATTGCAAATAATTACAGGCATGGAAAATCATTTAGCAGTTTAGACAACGGCAATGTTTCTCAGCCTTGGCAGCTTGAAGATGTGTGGATTTTAAATGTTTGAGGCAGTTTTAGTCATGCTATGCTGTACATGACAATATCACAGTGATCTTATATTTGCTACAAACTATCCTGACTTTATATCTAAATATGTGGAAAAAGAAGAGCTAAGGAGGGATGATGTGGTGGTGATCATGGCATTTATTGCCCCAATTCCTTCAGTTTTGAACTAAATAACAACAACAATAATAACAATAATAATAATAATATTTGGAAATTCTAAATTTACCTGACTTGAACATTCTGACTCTACAAAAACCACCCTACTTGGAACAACTTATATCCTCCAATGTTACCTTAACAGTTCCTAGGTCCTTGGTTAGGACTCGAGCTGTTGAGCTACCAACCAGCCCCAAAGGCTGTGAATCTCACCAAAGATTAACCATATAATAATAATAATTAATAATAAAACAGACTTGTGATAATCTCAAGACAAAACTCAAATGAATTACGATGAAGCCAGTGAAGATTCACAAGTGCATCTTACACTCCTGGATAGTTATCATGGGATGAAACGAAGTTTGTTTTATAATATAGAATGCTAGCTGTATCTCATTGGAATGCTTTTAGCTCCAAAGGAGTTCTTTAAAAACTACCGTAGATCTTTAGATAATTTGAATTGAATCTATAATACCATAATAAAACAGATTATTTGTTTGCAGATTTTGTTATAAGGCTCTTAACTTTGATCAGTTAGTGAGTTGGAAACAGAGGGGGAGTATCACGATCACATGAAATGCTAGTACCAGTTTATACTGCACTGGTAAGACCACACTTGGAATACTAATACAGCTGAAATAAGCACAGAAAATAGTAGTAATTATTACTTTATGCAGCCAACACAGCAATGCTAGCCTAGTAATCTGACTTTACCCCAGGGTATGATTAATATTGCAGGGTTTATTTAAAATCATTGCTTAGAATACCATTGCTGATGAGTCAACAACAGTCCTCTATTTTATATACAAAGATTTTATTTATTCAACAATTTTTATAACTTTTCCGAAACCATAGACTGGACAGCATACAACAAAGTAAAAATTCAAAATGAAAATAAAGACATATAATTAACTGAAATCCCGCAGAGGGTGCCTAGAAACATTTAACCCATCTTAAAAGTATGATGGAATAGTGTTGTTTTAATAATTTTATGAAATACCAGAAGGGAGAGAGCTATGTGAACCTTCCAAAGCAAAGAGATTCAAAGTATAGAAACCACAACAGAGAAGGCACATCTCATCTCAAACAAAGGGGAGGCTCTAAGCAGAAATTCTTGTTCTGTTACTATTAGACTGGCAGATTTAACCTAGAAAAGATGAGATTTGAGAGAATTTGAATTGGACCTGAAAGCCCACTAATAACCAATGCAGTGACTTGTAGTAGCTACAAAACACAGCTATGATGGAATTGTCCCATCAGTAAGCTAACTGCCAAGTGCTACACCTTCTGGATCATTTTCAAAGAAAGTCCCATGTCATATGTGCATTCATCTGAATAATGGTTGGAGCCTATTGTCAAGGGGTCCTGGTTTAAGCAGGGTTATAAATTTCTTAAAATTATAAATTATGATGAAATTAACAAAAATAAAACTAAGCAATGATAATACAATAAAATATTTCAATTTAAGAGTGAACTAAACGTTTAAAAGGCACAAGACTTTAAAGTATTAACATGTTATTAAACTTAGTCCACTCAGAAACATACTTTCCATCTTTGTACATGTGCAATATAAATAATATTTTAAAAAGAGCATATCTCTTTGAGTCCAGTCTTTGACAACTGGAAAGTCATTTTCTATACATCCTATGTAAAATAATTCTCTTGACCAAACCCATCTTGTTAAAGCCAAGAATATAATTTTTGCAATGTAATTCAATACGCCATTTACATTTTTAATTACTGTGTTTTTCTCCAGGATTGTATTACATATGTGGTACATATAACAAAAAGAGTGTTAGAACAGTATCAGATCACATAAATTAGAGAACCTTCAAATTTGTTACAGAACTAACACACACTACATATACACACAAACACACATACAAATAATCTGATATTGACTGAGTACAATAGACATAAAGAATAATGTCTATGTGTATTTACCCATGTAGTATGACTGTAGTATTATTATTTATTCTTATTATCTTCTTTAGCTCCCCCTTATTGGTATTATTATTAAAATTATCATTATTCTGTACCTTTGTATGTATGTTGAGAGCTTCTGCACAAGAGACAAAAATCCTTATGTGTCTAATCACATTTGGCCAAATAAATTATTCAGTTGAATTCAATTCAATTCAATTCGAGATTTGTTGATGAATTAATTATCATTTCATCCGAAGAATAGTATTTAATAAGCTTATTATTTAGGATAACCTCTTAACATAATTACTAGAGCTTGTTAAATCTGTACAACAATATGGCTTAATTCAGTATAAACTTTCAGTTGGTAAAATTTGATTTACTTTCACAAGGTTCAGACATTAAAATATATTTATTGCTGTCAGAAGTTGGCTTCCAACAACTGCTTGAACTGTATATAATTCTTTCCCCAAATATCTAAATATATATTCATTGTAATGGGCACAGCAGCTGAAGATGACCCAGGACCCAGCCATTGCCTAAATATGCTGCTTTAAGCAATTGATGTGAATCCAGGAGGATCCCTTAATCATGAACCAATTCCTTCATTTATTGACAAAAAAGCACTTGGTCTTTGAGGAATTCAGTTAGGTTTTTTTTTTTCAAGCCATCTAGATTTAATAGTGTCCATATACTTGTTGAATCTTTTCATGAGTTCATGCCTAAGATGGGACAATATCTCATGGTTTCCTGGTTTCTAGCCTGATACTTTAATTTCTACAATAAACAGGCCTGAAGTAGCAACACATAATTGAATATTATCCATATATTGATAACATTTCATCCTAATCTGCCAGAATTATTCCATTGTCTTCATATAGATGCTAAATAACATGGGGAAGAGCATTGGGCCTTATGGTGATCTGCATTGGAGAAACCATGCCTTATAGTACTCCCTGACCCCCATAATTGAATCACCATGAGTGAATTAGGTGGCTATATAACTTTTCTTAATAATTAATAAATTCAAAAAATATTGCAGACTGGAATTCTTTATTCAAAGGAGCAGAAGGACAGAGCTCCAACTTACAGCTCTTCTAGGCAATTTACAAGATGCCATGGTTGCCAATCACCTGACAGGTCAAAGAGATGCATACTTCCTCATTAAGGTCCTGATGGAGATGGCTGGGTCTAAATCTTGACTGATAGAAATCCAGATAATCCATTGAGCCATTGCCATCTTCTTGTCCACTTTTCCTAAAAAGGGAGGGCTGGAGACTGATAAAAGTTTTCAAAACTAAGTTACGGAGAACATCTACTAGAGAGGGTGCAAATCTCAAGTCAACTATGGAAATCTGTTGGACATATTCTGATCACATATGGAAAAGAAATATTTTATTTTTTCCTAGACTTTAAGGTGAGAAAGGGCATAATGGGCATTTCAAACAAAACTCTGATACCATATTTTTTCTTCTCATGTTCTGTATGTTTTCAATATGTATTTTAAAAATTCAATAGATTTTAGAACTACCATGAATAAAGGAAGATAAAATCCTAGCAGAATTAATTAGATTAGATTACTGTGTATCTTTAAGGGGCAAAAATCTTAAATGAACAAATTATTTCTTCCCACAGATATTAAAAAGATTACAAGGGTAGTTGGTGGTTCCACAATTCGAAAGGAGATTGAAGGTAAGCTGTGTGAAAGAGAACAAGTATCTCTCTTGGAAAGAGAGCATGTAATACTGGAATAACTTTCAGTAACAGTTTGTTCCTATAATCAATTATGTTTTAATGAAAACCTTTACAAAATCTATAAATTTACTCGGAACTACAGAAAAACCACAGTCAGAGAGCAAGGATCAATCTATATTTTTCAGCAGAATTCCTGTACTTAATTTGAGATTGGAGACAGAAGAGATGGTGTGCTTAGTGGCAATATCATTCCATCATCTGCACCATGCTTACCCAAAAAGCAACAGAAACCAAAAGGGGGCAACTCCCTTCCCTAAAATAATAATTATATATTGTTTTGTTGTTGTTGTTCATTATTATTTTCTCCAAGTTTATTGTTTAAAAAGTTGCTTGGATATTTGAGATGGCTTATAAAAAATGACAAACAAATAAATAATGTTAAAGATCAAAGAGGCAAATGGGAATTATTATTTGTTATAGTTATATCAAAGAGTTGAAAATTTCTGAAACTGCCCATGCATGCAAGCATCTATGATATTTTTGTTTATATAATATGCATTATATCAAAATAAATAAATACCAATATAGGTTAAAGTATACAGTATGTCAACAATCAGTCGTATTTTAAATCTGGCCACCCAACTTGAAATCTCAGTCAAAGCATTTAAATCAGTTTAATGCTACACTCTGATTATGGTGTGACTATATTTTTCTGAATAAGCTCTGCTAAATTCAGAAGCTTTAGAACTGGCTCTGCAGTTGATTTCTAAATATTATGTTTTTGAGAGTATTTTTCTCTGAGATATTTTGAAACTTACCTAAAATTTTCATGTGTCACTTTCATATTTCATGATGTTTTAACAATGCTTTGCAGTGCCATCCATTACAAAGTTCACCAAAGTGATTGAAGGGGAGCCAGAATTTAAGCTGGTCAGGGAAGGAGAGACAATAACTAAAGTGATTCATGGAGGTGAATATATTTTGTGGTCTGGGCAGTACTAACTAGAAGAATTTGGAAAAGAGTTCCAAATTCCAGTTCCAAAGTTTAGATACAAGTGGGAAGACTGAGTCTTGCAGCTATAGATTTGTTTTTAGCATGTTTTAATCATATATATTGCATCAGGAAATTAAATGTTTTAACATTCATTTCTTTCTTATTAATGCAAATAAAAGAAATCAATTTTCACTCTGCATGCTAAAAAAATATTGAACTGTAGACATAAAATGCAACGTAGCAATAACAATTTGCCAATTCTATTAATTTCTTAGTGATTCAATCAATGTTTTCAACTGCAGAATAATCATAAAACATATTTTTGTTATTCAAAGCTCTCAATAAAACTGTAAGCCATCAAGCAAAAGAAAAATTCAATATATGTTTTAAAATAACTAAATATTTTTATTCAGATTTTTTTAAAAAAACAACAATTTTTAGTTCGAAAGTATATAGTCTTGGCAAAACTGGCATGCTCTTATTTTTTTTTCAAGGCATCTCTATAGTCTAGTCAAAACATTTGAATTAACTATTTCTAACACTTTTTCCACTGTCTAAAAATCCAAAAGCAGCCCAATATATTGCAATGATCTTGACATTAACCATTTAAAAATGTTTTCATATAGAGCCTAAAATTAAAAAATACACAAAAATAATTGATGGGCATCCTGTGGAAGTGACTGAAAAAGAGGTGACTGAAGAAAGAATTATTCAAGGTAAAATTCATTTAAAGTAGTTTCAGTCTTAAAAATTCAAATTTCATACTGATCTGTGGGGAATAATATGTACTATTTTAAATTTCTTGTAAATTCTGTTTCTGGGACTTTTGTGTTTAGTTTTGGCAACAAAAATAATCTCTCTAATGATGGATAGTACAACATAGCTTCTTAAGAAAAGGCACAAGAAATAAAACTAAGAAATTTTCAGTTATCCAACTAAAATATCCTAGATATATCCTCTGCTCTCTATACAAAAATATGTGCTCAAAGTTTCCTTTAGTTGTATGTGCTCCAAGTACTGATTTTTATTTTACTCTATGCATGTTTAAAGTACATTTCAATCTCAGTGAAGTCAATAGAAGTTTAATCTTTTGTAAATAATGCAATAATGAATTATATCTGGACATCTTTCAGCAATTTGTTTACTTAGTTGTCACAAGTATTCATCCATCTTTTGAAATCTCAGTGTTTTCATTCTGCATATTACATGCTAGCTACTAAACACATCACATATAATATAATTTTATAATCATATAACATTAAGGAAGATCCTGATGACCACAATATAATATTAAGAGTATAGAAATTCCAAGTAAAAATTGCTGAATCTTTTTCAGGCCCTGAACTGAAATATACTCGAATCACTGCTGGTGGAGGAACAGATAATGAAGAGACTCTTAAGAAATTGCTAGAGGAAGGTTAGTAGGTTAATTTGAGATTAATCTGAGGAGGTTTATGGATTACATTGAAGCATGTTCATTATCTGAAATGGCTACATTTATGAAAATTCAATAATACTAGAACAGCACCTGAATTCAATTCAAAGCCTGCCTGACTCATATAGTATGTACAATTTATAAATAAAGATTAAAAATAAAAAAGCAATCTCAACATCACTTACTGTACTGAATGTTGAGAATGGAAATCTTTATAGCATAAAGATTTTCAGCATTCAACATCAATATTCAAATTGTTCCAATTGAATTTTACTGCAAAATTAGCCAAATACTGATTATTTATAATAAATGAAATAATTCTAAAAAATTTTTTTACATTTAATGTATATTTTCCCATATTGCCCTATAAAACACTTTCATGCCATAAATATATGTCCTGTCAGAGGTTACCAAGGTGACTAAACTCCTTGAAGGTGATGGTCATTTACTGGATGATGAAGAAATCAAACGACTCCTCCAGGGAGGTTAGTGAGTGCAAGAAAACTAATTTCATCCTAATGAACTTTAGAGTTGACAAGCTAATGTCGACTAAGAGTTGACTAATGTCTTAACTTTTTAAAGACTGATTCAAGGAAAGAAAAATCTATGGATCAAATTTCAAGGATTGTATATGAAAACAAGATATTTGGGTATTCTGCTTACTTCCACAAATCCATACTGAGGAAAAATATATGTATTGCTTATGCTCAGTCTTTAAATAGTTTTAAGTGAGCACTGAATATTCACCCACACACACTCACCCATATAACCCAAAATATTTGGAACTCCTAAGAAATATTTATAAAAACATTAGAAAAATCCCAGATCTTTTGTCTTATTAATTACTGTGAATATTCATTGTTTATAAGTTACCAAAGGCATGCTTAATATTCTTTTTGTTCAACTACAGATTCTATGCTTTAAACTTACAATTAGAAACTTAATAATTACAATTCTTTGCATATGGAAAGTACCTCTTAATATTAAGCATGTTGATGTCAGCTTTTTAAAAGTTAATTAACTTGAAGAGTTTCAAAGTTCCAGCCTTTAAGTTATCATTGCAATAAACATCCTGTTGCTATGGCTTGGCACCATGATTCAACCAAATAAAAGCCTTCAAGCAATGCTCAGTACAGGTGGGGCAGCAGCAAGGTTTATTGCCAGATATATATTATAGCAGTATCATGAAAACTGTTAGCTGACATAAAGACTGCATGTAAATGAGGAAGGACTGATAGAGTTGAAGAATGATTCATGCATATATTCTGAAAACTTGTCAACTACTCCAGAAGAAACTATTTCAGAATTATAGAACCTCATATTTTGAATAATGGCCTTCCAATTCAGAGCAAAGGTTTGATGTTACCACCTTTCAAAGGATGCTGTGACAGTACATGCTGCTCCATTCCTAATCTGAGCCAGACTTCCATTTTATTGTTAGCTTTCTTGGTATTCCACGTTTGAGAACATTAGCCATTATAACATATAAGGATTTATTCTATTACATAGCCAAAAATGAGATCCTGGCCCTTCAGCTTAAGTATTCTTTGCCAAGAAAGTGATCTATAATTTTTAAATCTATAATGATTACTTTATTTATCTTTATTACTTTAGAATGCCTTTGCTTAGTTGGCAGATTAGAATTATTCAAATAGCTAGAATGAAGAACAAAACAGAATAACAGAGTTGCAAGGGACCTTGAAAGTCTTCTAGTCCAATCCCCTATAACTATACCAGTGATACCAGTGAGGGCGAACCTTTTAGACAGCGAGCGCCCAAAATGTGTGCGTGCACATGCCCAAACTGAAAGATACAGACACACGCATGCGCAGAAATGCTTGAATGTGTGCATGTGTGGACATATGTGAATGCGCTCATGCATGGACATGCACATGAATGCATGGACATGTGCACATGTGCAACAAAGACCCGAAGGCCAGCGGGCTGGTGGGAGGCGGGGCATCCCAACACTGGCAGCNAAATGTTGCTTTAAGGCTTCTGAAAGGAAAAGGAAAGATAGAAAGAATGAAGGGAAAGAAGGAAAGAAATGAATACCCAAAACTAAGAGAAGGGAGAATAAAATAATAGATCTGAGTCAAATGTTGCTTTAAGGCTTCTGAAAGCAACATAGTTCCTCAATCTTTCATGGTTGGCGGCCTGGAGCAGGGCGAGGGAGGAAAGGGGATGACTTTGTGGGAGGAGCAGGCGGACATTTCCATGGGTGTGCAGGTGCCTATGATGTTCATGGTGACACTCACATGAGTGGTTCTGTAACTGTGTGCAATAAGGCTCATGCAAGAGGGGCTGCAAGCACCCACAACAAGGCTTGCATGAATGGGACCATACCATGAGCACCTGAGATGAGGCTCGTGTAAGTGGGGCCATGACAGCCCACAATGAGGTTCATGTGACTGTGGTTGTGAGTGCCAACAACGAGACTCGCATGAGTGGAACCGTGAATGCTCATGATGACTCTTGTGTGATGGGGCCATGAGTGGTGAGTGGGTCTGCGATGCTTTCATGAGTGGGGCTGGAGTGCCTGTGACACACACGCTGGTGGGGCCATGCATGGCATCTGCTCATGTGACTCAGTGGTAATTAGGCCATGGGTGGTAGTGGCCGTGGCCAACAGGTTGGGAACTTCTGGCATAGAGAATATTTCCAGGCGAATTAATATACTTAGCAGAAATATGTACTGTGGAGTGATACAGAATATTGATCACCACTTTAAAAAAAAATGATCTAAAACCAGTTTGCTTCATTGCTAAGATTCCTTCTTAGACCATCTGGTCAATGAGATTATAAAAAAGATGCTTACTATATAATTTGCTAATTATACATAGTAAACCGACCGATTGGTACAGAACTCCTCACCTTACAACTATTTGTTTAACAATGATTTAAAGTTACAGTGGTCTCAGAAAAGTAACTCAGCCTTGAAGTTACAACTGTCATGTTACCTCCACAGTAACATGATCACAATTTAGGTACTTGGCAACCAGCTTACATTTACAATGGGTGCAGCATCTTGCTGTCATATGATTGCAATTTGCAACATGCCCAGCCAACTTCTGTTAAGCAGTCAACTGTCCAATTGGCGAATCCAGAAAAAGAAACTCCTGGAACATTATTTTACCAAGAGTATAAAACCTTACTGAATAAACTACATTGACCCAGAAGAAATGAAACCTGATCTGGGTTTCCCACAAAAAAGCAAGCATGGTTAATTCCCCTCTTTCCTTATGGGCCATCCACAATCCAATATGTCCACCAATCACTTCTGTTCATTTTGTTATGGGAAACAGCCAGACACTCTGGGACATCTGCTCAATGTGTCCTTGAGATGCCAGCAATGTCTCATGGAAGCTGACAGATGTTTGAATACCATTCTTCCACCCTTGCATTCCATCCACCCCCTTTTATTGTCAAGCTGCAAGTGAAGCAAAAACAGAAAGTGAGAGTCAGTCTTGACATGCTGAAACCCCCCCCCAAAAAAAAAGGGTAGACCTGAAACAAAAATGTACACATTATTACTACCCACCAAATGCTGCTGCATTCCTTACTTAGTACTTGGTACTTAGTGTGAAACTTCTTAACTAACCTTGCTGCCCCGACATCTGGAGCAGCTACCCACTCGGTGTCGGTTAATGCCTTTCCACAATACTAGATACTGTAACATTCCCTTGCGATATCTGGAGTCAAGAAACTTTTTTTACCTCATAGTGTTCCTCTCCTTTTACTAGGATGAGGGGAGGAGGTGGTTCTCTGACTGGTCTGAACCCAGACTCTCAAAAGGCTTTTAAAAGACTAATGAAATACCAGATGAACCCACCTGAGGCTTTTTGGCAGTTCCACCATAACTGGATTTATGATCCAGACAATTTGGAAAGGCTCTATGTATCCGGGACCTAACTTTTTCCAAGGTTGCACCCAACTTCTTTTTCCAAAATGGCCTCATGTTTAGATATTCAGTGGATAAATACACAAATCCCTCATTCTAAATTCTCTCTTGGGGGGGGGGGGGCTCTTCTCCAGGCTGCTTGCTTTTTTTAAACTTTCCCTAGCTTTATTCAGCACCTCATCTAGGATGACCCACTTGGCTTTTAGAGTATCCATCCTAATGACACTGAGGTTGGGGCTTTCTGTGGGAGCTCTGGCATGGGCATGAACTCCGTTCCCATGGCCACCTTGAAAGGGATAAAACCTGTGCGGCTGTGCACCAATTTGTTATACACCACCTCTGAAAATGGCAGGAAGTCAGCTCAATTAGTCTGTTGATAATGTACATAACAGGGAAAATATTGCTCTACTAATGGGTTGTCATATTCAACATCCCCATTGGTACTAGGATGATAGGCAGAGCTAAGTCCCTTGGAGTAGACTATCATTTTTAAAACTTCCCATCAAAACTTTGTGGTGAATTGCATCCCCCTTTCCAAGGTAATGCACTTTGGGACCCCATGTAGTCTGTAGATGTGTTGCACAAACATCTTGGCTAGGCCCCAGGCTAAAGGAATCTTCAGAGATGTCACAAAGTGCACTTGCTTCGAAAACAGGTTAATGACTGTGTTCCCAGCACTCTAAGGCAATTCCACGATAAAGACCATGGATATCTCCTCCCATGGGTCAGCTGGGTTGGCTACCGGCTGTAGCAAGCCTGGACGCTTTCCAGGTAGGTGCTTCATGGAGGAACACATATGTTAACTGGCCACTTAGGCTTCTACATCCTTTTTTCATTTTTGGTGACCAAAACTATCTCTTTATCAAATGATGGGTCTTCACAAACCCCAAATGCCTTGCAGGTTTCAGGTCCTGGCTCCTCTGCTGGACCAAGGGTCTCTGGCTGGCTGGGACATACAATTTACTCCCTTTCCACACCAAGCCCTCCTTTCACATCGGGTCATCTTTATGTCTCTGGAACCACTCGTCTGCTCCCAAGTCTTCTTTTAATGACTGCATCAATGAGCCCCCAGCCAGCTGCA